GTGAACATGCCTTCTTTCCAGAATATATCTTTGATAAGAGCATATTTTAGGGTCACCTAAGTGCAGAGTCCTTTGAAGATGAAATTAGTTGAATTTCTTGACATTAAACTCAATATAAGTCCAGGTATTTTAGAACCCGGTAAATAGTGTCTTTGCGCGTGGTTTCCCAAAAATGATTAAAACTGATAATTTCTTGCTCAAGGACATTGACCAAGTCAATAAAAGGTCATATTAGTATGAACTTACTTGATTTGTAAGGAATTTCAAGAAAACTAAACGGCACTAAACATGCGTTTGGTAAATGCAGGTTTTCCGCTTAATTATGCATTCACTAAAAATTTACTTCCCCTGTACGGAAGCACGCCTGAGCAAACGAGATATTGTTGAGGGTAATTTGGTTTACCAGAAATAGAAATTCAATTTAACTACGCAGACTTTGAAACAAACTAATCTCCCATTCTTCCAGGCAGGTGTATGGAAAAACAGTATCTCTGGAACTTTGAGCGGCTAGAGTAGCGTCGGTGACTTTTTAAACAAATATATTCCCCTATAAGTGACGATGGGGGGAGAGACATATTGGCTTTTTCCGGTTGAAAACGCTTCCGGAATAAGTTGGTGTCTAACTCTTCCCATTTTTGGTATGAAACGGAAAACCCTGCGCTCATGAACGTGATGCATAAAACGGAAGCACTTTTCAAGGAAAACTAACATTAAAGTGGTATTAAACGGCATGAGCTTTAGTTTACTTTTTAGTATAACTACCTTCAGTAACTATAGCATGAAATCACACTGTTATCAGCTCTAAAAAAGACGGCTATTCCATTCGTACAGTTAATTTATTGACATTAAGATGCTATTTTCAATCAGATTTTGAGGGCTGCAATGCATCTATGCTCCTGGTGAATGATGTCGCGCTTGGGGAACTCCATAAGCGAATAGCCGTAGATATTGCACTGCGTTAGATCTATGTAGTATTGTTAAGGGTTGGTTGAAAATGGTTTAATTATGAATTCAAGTGTGCATTCTGCGTATTATTAGGTGACTGTCACTCTTTGTGGAACCTATTGGAGAGTAAAAGGTTGCTTTAAGACGTAAACAATTATACTGTTCATATTACAAAAGCGATTTCAGTTTCTATGCTCATTAGATCAAAGATTCGATTTGATAATTAGGTAGTTTTGGCATGCTTTAATAAACTCTAAAATTATTCTACAGGGAAACGATGCTTGTTTCGATAAGCAGGCCAGAGTGATCACAACATAAGTAATGTATTTCCATACGTTTAAGTCAAGAAGAGTGCATTGATAACACTGTAACAATAGGCTTCATGAATAAAGCAGGTCGATTGTGAGCCGGTTGTTTGGCTTTCAGCAACCCAAGGTATCGCGGGGTAAACATTCCACGTGGCACACACTGTTACGGAGGTGACAGACGTCTATAGGTCTCCCCCGTCGACACAAACCCTTCCCAAGGGGTGGGGGGGGGGGGGGGAAGGGCGAGCTGCTTTGTATGTGCTCACACGTAAACGCACTCTGCCTCTCTTCACATAAGTAATTAATGGCCCTATTTGAGAGCGTAACCACTTCTGACCCCTGCCCCATAATTCCGCCAAGTCTACCTCAGCAAACTCCAGTTACAGCTTACGCAAACGCTGAAAAACACGCGGGTGCATACATATTCCTTTTCCTTTTCCTCCTCCTCCTCCTCCTTCGTCGTGGGAAGAGCTGGAAGGACAGGAGCTTGGGAAAAGCGGTTACTAATTGCCAGGTGAGCTGGGGACAAAAGGGCGTCACCTAAAGAACTGCAACAGCTAAAGCCCCTTAAATATATGCAACAGGAACAGAAAATTGAAGAAGGATGCTGGTTTTTAAGTTAAAAAATAGTTTAGGCTTTAGTTAGTCATTTATGGATCACATCAAACCTGTAGCTTTTCCTTTTTTAGTAAAGCAAGTGATCAATAAGTAATGCGAGTTATTTTTTGACATCAGTTGGGGCATGATAGAAACACGTCATTTAAGCCTTCCCAAATAAACACTGTTATCACTTGCCAGCAATGCATGCTACTAAGTGAGGCACAGGAAATATGTCTGTGCAAAATTAGGAATAATTGATTTCTCGCTGTTTATTTTGAGATTTATGATCTGGACCTGAAGTCGACACAGTTAAAGGAGAAAAATTTGATTTTGCCCAAGCAATTAATATTAGGGTACAGCATTTCTCATTTGAAAAAGTAAGCTAATCGTGAGTAGAGCACAACCTCAAAAATTCCTGCAGCATTTGTGGTGAGAAGATCTGCAATCCCAGGAGGTTTTCCTTCAAAATTCGGGAAGTTTCTGATTCCGTGGTTATTTTTGCGAACATCCTAGATACTGTCCCCCGCTTAGTCGCTTCTGATTACTTGGCATCGAGTTTAGTTACACTCCAATTGCGCTAGAACGCATTTTTAGGTCTAGGTTCATCTATCCTATGAATGCATGCGACTAAGACGACCCACCTACTCGGACACGGGCGCGCACTCAGTTGGTTTCCTCTCGTCGGCCGTGGGGCCAGCACGTGCGCGTCACGCTCCCGTGTTGATTCACACAAGTCAATAAATGGAGGCGTCTCCTGTGAGGGGATCCAAACTGCCTGCAAACACAGAAACTCCAGTTAGAGGCGACTTACAACAACTTGTATAAAAAGGGCCAAGTTAGGATGCCTTTCAAAGGGTTGTCGATTTCGCACAATAGAATGAACCTTTCTTATTATGATGTGATTATCCGCAAGCTGAAAATCAAGCATGAAAGTTACTATCTAGATTTAATGCCTAATAAAATGACGAACCCAAAGCAGGAAGCAAAGCTTGTGTAGGAATTTATCGCTTGATTACTATATTAATGGAATCATGAAGTCTGTGTTCCCATTGATCTGAAAACGATAAATCATGAATATTCTAAAATCTAATAGTGTTGATGTAATTGATGTCAAATTCACCGAACCTACTACATTTCCACGTTACTAATCCCAACACCATGTCAATGTCCTTGATAAGGTTAAAGCGAGGGTATGCTATTAATGTCACTTGATATTTCCGCCGTTTCCAATATACGCTTGTATCATTTTTGGTTAATGTACTGCAGAATCGGTAATAGTATCATCGGGTTTAAAATTTTGAAGATGACTAAAATCCACTCGATATTTTATGGGTTGCAGCACCCAAAACACGCAATTTGAAGACTCTGTTCATCACTATAGCAACACAACCAAAACGGAAGAAGTCTGTTTTGGGCTGACGGTTTCAAAATGCACACTACTACATGGTAGTTTTGGTGGACATTGTAAACCTTATTAGGAGATTGCACTTTTCTAAAATGTGGCTAATGGTGCAGCATAAAGTGGATTTTGTTATAATACTGGAAAAATAGTCAAAGATTCCTAGAACTCCAAATATTACACAATTATTGTTACCTGTCATTTATAAATTTAAATGTAATGATGTGACAGAATTTCAAACTCTGTGTTGAACTATGCGAAAGCTGTGGACTTCCCAGGTTGTACTGGATTAGCTGGCTTTCGGGTCATGCCAGTAGCCCCACACCATTCTGTACGCCGACAATAGATATTCTGCCCCAGTATCATGTCTTCCTTCGTCTTCAAGAGAGTCTCAAGACGCTACGTCGGTGGCAATGACAAGCAAATCCGATCTTAAAAAGTCAGTTATCATAAGTTCTACTACTGGGTGACACATCTTGCCGTGACGGAAGTGGCGTACATTGCTGAGGATGGGCGAATCTACAACGGCCCCAAGTGGAAGGCCTAAAAATGACGTCCACCTTTGGTAACTACCTCAGTCCCGTGTTCTCATAGAACGCTATTAACAACTAAAGTGACACTAGCCATGAACCATCTGCAAGAGTCCGTTACGGCGCTGTCTACCGTATGTGCATGAAGATACAAATTACGTGGACTTCTTCTCTACTAGCTAGATGACAGCCGAATGGATATGACTGGGCAGCTCTGGAATGAGGAAAAGGGGCGAGGAGGAACGGATGCAAGACCGCATTCCCACGAAACTATGCTAAACTGTCCTTTGTTATATGACTCTGCTTTTGGATCAGCAGGCCTACAACTAGCCACGGACACGCGTGATAGACAGCGCATTCCCTCGTCTCCCCAATACAATTCCCACAAAGGACTAAATTGTAAATCCAGTATAATGGCCAAGTGAGGTCAGTGACGTTGCGGTCAATTATCTTCTCAGCTGCATGGAAATTCGATGACTGTGAGGCTTGGCTCGTGGGTGCTTCCTCACAGCACTGATTACGTTGTGATGGCTGACGCAGGAGGTCAACCAAGTGGAAAGTCAAGGACGATGTGCGGAAGAGGAGGAGGTGATGTAATCCGTAATTGTATGGCTAGCTCGCGGTTTTGGCGAAGGGACCGCATTGGTTTCCCACCATTGTACCTTGGCCAGGTGGGCTAGCCTCTGGGCTATGCCAGTAGCCCCAAGTCCTGTGAGGTGTGGACGATACACGCTCTGCATGAGATTGACGTCATCTTTTAACCCCAAGGAAGTCTCGGGGTGATACATATAAATGGCAAACTTTTGCTGGATAAATATGCTTCAGTTAGAACCAGACAGTCCCTATCATTGAGGAATACTTTTATGCAAGTGCAAAGCTACCAAAACAACACAATTTAACCCAAATGGGATTTGAAAATTACTGTATTTTTGCATCAGCTAAGTGTAAAATCTGTTAGACTTCTTTAATATCTACTACAAAAGCTGTACATTATTTTGGCAAAACAAATTTTTTAAATTACCACATCGTCAAAAGTATTCATATCCTGATTTTAATGGGAATTCTCTGTTCTTTTAATAAGTAGTAATGGATTTGCATGAATGGCTGAATTTATTTGTGCATCCACTTTTAAATTGACACACTTTTAGTTAATCCAAATGTGCTGGTCTTTGGCGCTATTGCGAATCTGGCTTGGCCCGTTTTGTGGGTTCTCTCAAGATGTCGAAAACGTGTGCCGGTTGTATCAGGGCGCTGATGATATTCTTCAACTTCCTTTTTATTGTGGGTTTGGACTTTTTTACTCAGACCGGCCATTTTGCGCACTATTTAAGTCCTTTTCCGATATGTAGCTGACATTCCAATTATGGAAGCTGGACCAATTACTTGTTTTTTAATCAGTATTGATACTAGTCCGCAAAATTCCCTAAGTATCATCGAGAGTGATTTTCCCTTTTTTCTGAGTATGGTGAATGAAGTTGAATCGCTAAAGTTGGTTGACCCTTTCTCCTTGTCCCACCTTTTTGAGTTCTAACAAGTATCTGGTATCTTGTACATGATAAGTATGGTAGCTGGCTGATAGCAACCTCTTGCTTTTACGTCTGAAGGTTATGTTCGTCAGGATTCGCTACTTTTATCGGGTCTTTTGAAAACTTGGTAGATGCTGTTTCCTCCTTGAACCGCGAGTTCTTGGTTAACTATGACTATTTCACGTTGATTTTCCTTTTAAAATTGACTTCGCAATATTCTTATACTCATCACCAGTTCTTGATGGCCACTACAAAATTAGTGTGTACTTTTGCTGTCTGACCGCTTAATCTGACTAGTTGAGGCGTTAGCATATTTGTACCGACATTCGTTGCGGCTCAACTATTTCTGGATTGCCTTAATTTCTATTGATTTGCGTCGTTTGTTGACGTTTACGGTAATTGGACGTCTGAACGCCCACGCATAGTTGTGGCCCGCACAGTTGCGCAATGCCATTCTCCTACTGGCATGCATCTAATCCGCTGTTATGTTATCGCTCTTTCACTTGCATGCATTCTTCACTATGTATGCTTCTTTGAATTATTTTACCTATTATTTAGCTCATTGGCCTCGCCATCGTCGGGCTGGGTATATACCTCCTGGTGTCAGGATACGTTAGCAGCGCTTCCGGGGAGTTAAGTATCCTGGCTTATCCGTGTATTGGGTTAACCATTTTGGGGATTGTTCCGGTGTTTCTCGCAGTATGTGGTTGTTGGGGCGCATTGCGATACAACAGATGCTGCCTGGGAATGTATTTTACATTCCTCCTGTTTGTTTTTGCCGCCGAAGTCGCTACTGGGATTGCTGGTGTCGTTTTCAAAGATGAGGTACTCGTCTTTTACTATTCAGCACTTGAATATTTGCTTGATTTCCAGTTACGTTTGAGTACAATTGTATCAGCAGCTTTGATGGCTACTTCATGTTTAATTGTCAAGCTGCACTTCTATAGGTGCGAACACACATTCTCAGATACCTGAAAAAGGCTGTCGAAGACTACGAACCTACTGAAAAATTAACTTCGCTCGATCTTGTGCAAGCGACTGTAAGTTATCTGATCCGGTTTATAAGATCTCGGTTCTCTTATTTAATTTCAACCACATAAACGATCGATGAAAACCCATTTGGTAATGTGCAAGAATATATTGGTATTTTTAAATTGGTAACGCTCCAACGTACCTTGTGTGGTTTACTTCGATATGCCTTTAATTGTCTTCATGAATATAGTAGCTAAAATCACTTTTTTTGAAAATTATCAGATTGTGTTTTTTGCATTAGTTCCATTGCTGCGGCTATAAGGGTCCGAGTGACTATGGGCATAAAGCATTTCCTAAGTCCTGCTGCGGATACGCTGAATGTGACGTTTCAACCCTTCCAGTAAGTTGACTGTTTACCTTCTGGGTATTGAGGTGCACATCCTTGAGTGTACAGAAATCGTGAGATTCTTTTTTCTAGATGTGTGAAGTACAGTTTTGTATGGACTTTGGTTTCTTGATTCTAAACTATTGTCTGATGGTGTAACGTCCCTTTATTTGTTAAAATTATGTCTAACACAAAACTCCACATTAAGTCTGGACAAATTAATAGGTTTACTGTTTATGCCTTCAAAATAGTGTTCCAGTCACTTAATGCCATTGCCATAACACCGAAATGATACTCTATGAATACAATAAGACCATTTCTTTTTCATTAAGTTTATAAATAATTCCTTTTTTGGAATATTGCGTATAGAGACGTCCCTGTACATGCTTGCTGCTAGTTTAATGGTAAACCGCTGAACACACTTGTACTTTTTATTAATGCCATAACTTCGTCGGCATCATTGGCATAGTCCATCTAATTATGCAGTTTCTTGAAGTTTATGAATTGCCTCTTACTAGAAAAATCGTGATTTTATCGTCGGAAATTTTGCCTTTACAAGTCAATTCCTTTAGCACACAAATTTCGTGATGGTCTGCCGATTTAATTAACCTTAATTTATGTTGTCTGAATAAATTATCCTCTCCAATAGGGTTGCGAAAAACGCACGAATGAGATTGAGAAACATACGTTGATACTCTGTGCTATTATTATTGGATTGGCTGTTATTCAGGCAAGTTTTTATCCCTGTAAATTAATGCAAGACGTATCCATGTGGTTCTGGTGTGAGGTTTTGGTTATTTAATTTGAAACTCCTATGAAAATTGAAAGTAATCTTTTTTCCATCTCGGAAGAGATATTTCTGTGCATGTAGCTTGGTGTTTTAGGATATTTGTTAGGCACACAGCAGGAAATTCAGGTTGCATTATGAATCCACTGTATGGTTTAGTTGCCATCTGTCTGTCTACCGATAGGCTGATGACTGCTGTTTGTCTTTAGCTCGTTGGGCTGGTCTTCTCGATGATCCTCTGCTGCGCTGCCAAGGATAGACCCGACATGGAATCTTATGAACCTGTGCATACATAAGTGCCCATTTGCATATGCACACCTTTAAAAGACTTCTTGTAATTGTCCTTCCTATCAGTTAGCAATCCGTAAACTGGCTTTCAGCGCACACACTCCAATCACTAATGGTGATATCTGCATAAATTATTGCCATTTTGCATTACTCCCTCTTGCTGTTAATAACTTATTGTACAAACTATTGACCCATTGTTATTCCACGCATTCTTGAATGTTTCAATATTAATTACTTCATTTGATACCATTTCCTCAACTATCCTTTTCAAACTTGAAACGCTTACTTCGTGTCGCTTATTATGCCTTTGAAGTGGTATTCCTATGGTTTACTACCTGGTGAAATACTGAGATAGGTCGAACTACTTTGCTATAGCTTACTCAGTGATATTACCGTTGGCCTCCCCCTTCCTTGACCTTTCTTTTAGCTTGTGTGCGGGTTGAAGCCACATCAGCTCTAATAAATCGGTCAATCTCTTGATGCAGTAGCTGTTATCCAGTGGTCTATTATAGGCCAAGAAGGTCGGCATATCAGACAACGGTAGAATTCAATTCTACTTTAATTGGTGGTTTTGCCATCACATGACGCATTGGGGTAGGCTGCCGTAGGCTCTTTCAAAATGACTTGGATGTACTCAACTCGCAACTCCTTTTGATCCGCCTGAACCTGGGCCAAAGTATTCCTGTCTGGTGTCTCACGCTTTTTGATGGCGGGAAATTTTTAGCCAAGTGTCTCCTGTGAGGGTGCATTCTTCCGCAGAGGAACCCTACACATGTGCTAACAAGCAGAGGGTGACTCTTCAGTGTTTGCATGTGTAAGTGCCACGTTGTTAGCTGATGAGTGATGCGTTAGTTATCCATCCATGCTTTGGCGATATCTTCTAATCTTGGGATGATCAACGGCCTTTGTTTTGCTGTATGGATTACTAGGTTGTGGCTACTGATTTCACAAGGACTTGATTCCATTGATGGCTGTGATTCAATCCAATTTCGATAGATTGTAAAATAATTGTACTGGAAGTAAAGCAGAACGGACCTTCCAAGTGAATGGGAATAGCGTAGCACTTTTAAGCTGTAACAGTGGATGGAAAGGGGTTTAGGTCAGTGTTGTGCTTCCTTCTCTGTGATGTTACTGACGTTAGTTCACATGGAAGATTTTTGTTTACGTAGTTTTAACACACTAGGAAAGTTGGTAGTTTCAGTTCTGCTTGTAACATTAATTTTCCACAAGATTTAGTGCAGGATGGTAAGTGCCTTCAATCACATGCCTTACTTTGGGATTCTCTGGAAGGAGTACACGCATTTTATGGGCAAGATCGTAGCTATTACTCGTCTTATCAACAATCCGTTTACCGAAGAAGAAATTTTGTGCGGCACATTTAACTAGTCTTCAAGTACAAACGAGAGAACTGTGCTGACGGTAAATTGCTATGCGGTTAACTGACCACATAGCTCATTTCAACACAACCCAATGCTTGAAGGTACACTTTAATGTCAGCCCAGCTTACATGGAGCCCCATATGCAGCCTGCAGAGGTCTTCAGCACTATCTCTTACCTCTTGGTGTAAGGGCAACTATAGTAAGGATAGACCATAAAACAATGTCGGGCATTTGTCGACTCTTGGTTGAGAGTCAGACACCTACCTGTAGGCGTACCGCAACGGCACATCGTAGTTACTTATCACTTACTCGAGTGTATGAGTCTGTGACCTTCCAACCTTGCCAACCGCAGGCTGGTGTATGCAGTGTGGTTGGATGAGTCAGTTGTATATCGGCAAGGCTATGGATAACAGCAAGCGCGGGCGCCCCCATTCCAGCGTGTGCATGCGGTTCTTCTCTTGTTACTTGGTATCACATGCTTTCCTCGCGGTGAATTTTTGCAAAGGCACCGTAATCATCAGGAAACAATGATAGCTTAGACCTGAATGTGTTCTTGAAACGCAAAAACCAACGCGCATACATCATTCAAGATTTACGCACTTGTAAATCAGTATGACGGCTGATATTGCTGCCTCGTGTAAATGTCAGCCATTAATTATGGGTCGGGATCCCCTCTTCGTGATGTTTACCATTGTAATTGGGGAAGTTGAATTTACTGTGGTGAACCTATCTCCATTAGGGAGGCAGATTGATGTGAATGGATGAGATTGGGAATGATAAGTGTGTGCAAGCCCAGCGCACTACGTTAAAATAGTGATGGAAGGCATGATCTTTAAATGAATGCCAATGAGCGATAAGCAAACAGAAATCATTTGACTTCTATGATTTCCAGGGCGATGTGGAGCCAAGCGTGTCCTAAAGTCAAATGTCAACACACGAGCATTAAAACACACAGTTTTATCAGTAATCGTTTTAAAAGAGAAAACCTGGGTGTATGTAGCTGTGAAATTGATGAGTCCTTGTTTCTATGCCCAGGTTGCGCCCGAAGGAAGTAATTATGCAAATTGGGCAACATGGTATTCCGGTATGGAAAATAAATTAACCTCAAAGGTAACTAATACTATTCCCAGTCAACAAATGCTCTAATTGTTACATCTGCCCATTAGCCACAATTGATGCTACCATCCGTTAGATGATATTAAGTGTTGACAAGATCAAGTAAGCGCTCTAGGTGCTTACCTAATTAATTCCATCACTCTTTATAAAGATACCGTTTGACCAGTGTGAGTTAGCTGAATGTAATTCAGCAAATGGTGTCCTGACATCTGTATTCCGCAGGCACGTAAGAACTGCCTAAATGAATTTGTCAGGGTCGTTTAATAGCTATATAGGCTTTGCTCAAAGTTCCTGACTGGGAGTTTGTCATTACTTCACATGAACTAGTAATTTACGGTTGTGTCATCTGTGTACATTCGAAAAAACACATTGTTGGCAGAAATAATCCCCAATGTTTTTTTAACAAGACTTTCCGGTGATTGATTTTAATCATTCTTCAACCATTTTTGACGCTTGTAAGCACATAAACTTCAAGGGGATAACAATTGCATTACATAAAATCAAAATTCAACTTTCGGTTACAGTGGGAATAGCACTTTGCTGATTTACTAAAAGTAATGAAATCAGTTACGATTTCATTACCTGCTCATAAGCGTATAATAAAATTTGCAGGTTCCTTAAATTCGATCGTTATCGTTCCCTTTTATGATGCTGACAAATCATTGTAAGGCCAGTAGTGATAACCTCTGTAAGTCCCCTTAAGATTTGTGGTTAAGATATCAATTAGAAGATAGCAAATAAATACAAATATATAAAAGTCACCCAGGAATAATAATTAACACACGGGAATCGACCAGTAGCATTGCGATACACAACATTAGCTAACTGTTAATGGGTAATCATTGTGGTAAAACCATTAACCAATTGATAAAATTATAATTTCCACTCAGGCCTGGTGATTATGTGATGTAAAACAAAAGTGTCACCAATGGATCATCTTCATTTGTAGCTTGCAAAGCGTCATTTGAACGAACCGCTAGATTTGACGTTTCTTTCGTCGACGTAATATATTAAATGGGATAAATGCAGCGCTATGGAAACATATGGTGAACTGAAATGCTTCCAAGGGTGCCATTTTTATGAATCCATTGCCGTCTTTAAAAGTGAGTTGAAATTCGACCAGCTAAGTACGCCCTTTTGGGCGATTATGGAATTATAACCAAAATCCAGACAATGTAAAAAGACTTGCATAAATAGCCACGTAACTCCCCATTCTCAATGCGAAATTCAGGTCAAATATAAGAAAACCTGGAAATATGACCATCCAAATTAAACTTTCAGCGTATTATCCCCTGGTATGAAAAAAAAACCAGCAGGATCATTTTTGAAGAAATTAGGCTTTTTTTCCCTTAAACACATTTTAGTTGAAGTTCAAGCAAATAGCACCCATAATACTATTCATTGATTGTCAGGTATGAATGCTGATGCACCGTCAATAATAAAGGAAATAAAAGAGACAATGCGACGTCAAAAGATAACCATCACACGACTTCATCTCCAAGATAGTAAGGGAACCTTGTGAAAAAATCCATTCGCTGTTTTTCATTCACAAATATGAATATCTGATCCCTATAATGCACAATTGGAGTACCTTTGATTTCTCACTCTCTGGTTCAATTCGTAGTATTTACGCCGCAACGGTCACATTGCGCTTGTCGTTATTCATTTTGCAGTCATTTTCATTCACCACAAACCCAGTTGTTGATATCTGGAATGGTCAAAAACATCATCCACGAATATCAGTTAATAAATCGCCCAATTTGAAGTCATTTTACTCGACTTATTTAAGTAAACAATGCCTTGAATTGTTGCTGATAGTCAGACAGCATAAATGGTTAATAATTCTGATAACTAAAAACCGAATTTACTGTACAAAAAAAATAAAAACAATGACTGAACTCGTTCAGATGTGACTTCTCACCAAACAAAATATTGCTATCGGAAATGGGGCAACGTATTTATTGGCAGACCATTGTTACTTGGACTACCTTTCGCACCACAGCGGTCGTACAACCAACATTAAGCAGTTCTGTTGAAAACCGGGTCAAATCTCCGCAAATTTGAGGCCGCTGACAAGTCCATAATTTTCTACAAACCCGTTCATCATGATTTGCATCTAGATGGTTAACTTTTGATCGCAGAAGCCGCTGTGGAAGTGGAAGAAAATGTGAAATTATTCCTCTAAACACCTGCGTGCAGAAGCCCACGAGAATAATTCAACAAGTGATGAAGCCGCAATTTTGTAACTACGTAACTTATTTTCTTTAGTGAAATTTTTTATTTTAGAATGCAATTTTAAAAATAAATTCAAATGGAAATAAAACCCTCGGATTACAAGAACTCTGTAATGTCCTCGATCAGGTTGGTGTAGGTACGATTCCTCTTAAATAGTGTAACTGCCAACACTTTATGTGTTATGAATATATAATGAAAAAGTACGATTCATCTACAAATTTTTCATGCTCCAAAATATTTGATTTTAAACCTTCCTCTCTGTAAAATAATACCCAAAATAACAATCCTCTAATGCGAGATAAATTTACCAGTTCAAATCAAAATGAACAACGCTGGATGCAACAGTAATTAACTTGTGCAGCACACTATCCCCATCAAAACAGATAGTTAATTGAAGGCACAATAATAAGCAGGCATTTCAAAAGTATGACAAGTGGACCGAAACTCACAATTCAGCACATATATTTGAACGAATGCAATCTGTGTTAGGAGAAAGTAGCTTAAGCTGAACAGCATTTTTTTAAATGTGCAGGGACGAATGCATATGTACTGAAATAAGTTAATAAATCAGAGTACCAGGAACTGAGTACAGCAATGTTTAAAAAAGATCTTGCCTTTTTCCAAATAGTTTATCGATGAGTATTTTATGGTGAGGAAAAGAACAGCCTATATTCCTTAAAGAAACTGTTTTGCACTAGATTAAATATTATATTCACTGATTATCCGAGAGCACAAATTGAAAGGTAAGCTTCTAATACAACATTGCACGGTGTTAACTTTCCTTCCTGAGTTCCACGAAAACGGAGAGCTTCTATTGGCTGCTTTGCATTCCGTGAAGGGTGCGGCAGTCTGGGAAGATGGCTTTGTGCCAAGTTTGCAAATGCTATGGCAGCCGGAATCAGGATGGCTGCCTACTGTCACCCGATTGGCCGAGCAAATGCGGCGGGTTGATTACATTAAAAAATTTGAGGGCTAAGTAGCACTTACAGGCAAGGTAAACTTAACGTCTTAGGAAGCTCTTAAGCTGTTTAGTCTAGATGGATTAACTAGTTTTAGATCTTATTTATCGAAGGATCTCTTTGCGTCAAAAGGCAGAAAGTTTTATTGGTAGTTAAGATGGCTTCGTATTGAAGTCTGTCATAGTCTACCACCATAAACTACTTCTAAAATGCTAATGAATATATGAGGTGATCAAACTTATTGCAGAGAAATAATGAGGATAAATATGCAATTTCAAATAAATGAGCAAATATAGTGCTTCTGAAGGTTACTTTAAATGCTTTTTTAAAGTTTTAATGCAAGTCTGAAAGGAGATACGTGAAGCTTAAATGTCTTTGGCCTTCTTGCTTTCTTTCATCCATAGAGTAAACGAATTGCGTTCGTCTACTAAATTAAGGGTAGTCCCGCAAGAAACTTTATGTGCCAACCAGCCACAGCTTATCACATTCTCATTTTCGATGGGAAACGCTGGAGCTTAACAAAAGTGGGCCTTAAAATTGGCATTTTAAATAATATTTTTATATACGTAACAAGATGAGGTACTAAACACCATAGCATTATGTTAAAGTTAAATGAATGCTGACACGTGCTTCCGTTTATTTACAAGGAAACGAGGGTTGCTCTGCATCTTGTTAGCATGATAATTTCTGGAAAAGATATTTACTGGATATGCAAGGTAGTTTGAGAGATATTGCGGGAGGAGGAGGATCGATTCGCATACCCAAAGATGTCCAACTTCTTGTAAGTGACAAATAAACATACTTGAGCCTTCTCAGAGTTAACTCATAAAATTCATTTCTGAGTTTTTACAATGGTTTGCACACCTAATTTTATAAATATTCAGGAGTCTACACTCTTTTTTATTCCCTAAGGCTAACTTACCGTTATTTGGTGTAATCTTTTATTGCTCGAAGTCTGACTGATGTAATGAAAATATGAAAATGTTATTCAAGATTATTTATGGCTGTAACTAAGGCCACAAATTAAAATAAAATATTTATTCACTCCTTACTGTTAGACAAAATCAGCCAATAATAGTTCGATGCCGCTCAACTTAAGAACGCGGTTGACATTTTTGCACCACAGGAAAATATTAATATCCAATCATGGAGAAATTGGACTAGGCTTACCAATATAAATAGTAATTTTACGTCTTTTTGAATAATATAAGACTGAATTTTGGTAGCGGACGAAGACTCGGATTAATTTGGCACGCTATTTTACAATAAAGTTTGCAAATCCCTCAGAGTTTCTCAAGCAAAGAAGAACGGTACTTGAAAGCGGATAATGGTAGCCCATCACCTTGATGTTATTGTTTTTTCAAACCCAGTAGATTCATACTTAAATTGTCTACAGTTTCTGCAATTAGCTTACATTTACTCAAATGCGTATGGCACCGAATTCGCGTGTTCTACTCAGGAGTTTTCAAATTACCTACTGGTGTCTGTTTAAGTGAGCAAGTTAGAGACGTAAGGCATCAAGAGCACCTAACGATTGCTCGCGAATAGAGCTATGCAGGTTTCGGTCGCCAAGGTAACAATGGCTACCATAGCAACATAAACTAGGCAGAATTGGTACCAGTAAGAATAAAAAAATAATTGCACTGATTGTTTTTGGAGATAAAGTTGGTTGTTCGAGTACTCGTATTTACCTGGGCCACTGGTGAGCGCACCAGAAACCTAGATATCATTCAAAATTTTAGAGTTGTAATGTTTTAGCTTATTCTGTACTAAATTAGAATATTCTTTCTAAAATAACCTTTAAAGAATTAGGGCTTTGGCTAGCGCAACAATTTTATTGTTAACCGAATGACCAACTTGTAGATTTTTATTAACTTATATTAAGGACGAATATTGATGATTTATTAAGAAAAGCAATTAGCATAAATTTTGGACTTATATTAGTGGATGTGTAACTAAGGGATCATCCATATTCTTACGAAACATTGATTAAAGGCCTCAAAACAATGAATGAGATGGTGGCTTAATGTTCGCATAAATATTATACGCCGATTATTTAGAGCCGTAAATTTGTAAGCAAATAGCAATCGACTCAACTTGGGATGAGAAAGTTATAAGTCTGCTTTGTTTAGGAGGTTGATTGGGCTTATTTTGATTACAACACCAAGGTTTACGGTCAACCAACTGCAGGCGAAATTGACAATAGTACTACTAACCGTTGAAAGTAGAACTAAAATTTTGCCACATGGATATACACAGCAAAACGTTGTAAAAATGAAGTAGATGGTATCCTACTGACTGGAAATGGCACAAACTAAGCTATACTAGAATTATCAGCACATCTAATTATTGTCTTACTATGAAATCCTTAATTATTTGTTGGCTTTGAATGAGCCTTGTGTATAACTGCCGAATCCCCAGAGCCACCCTGAGCATAATACTTTTGCTTATCCTCCCTGTAAATGAAATGATTTTTTCTGCCTCACTAGATTACTATATCCCAACCATGATAAATCCACAGATTATAAGGTTATAAATGAGGCTTTTGTCCCTCAAATATTCAACCATTCAGTTTGATTAAATAATGACCATAGATATGCGAAAAAGACATTCAAGAGTGGTCATTGTTAGCTCACGGCTTAAGCGTATAATAGATGCAACTTTGAAAAAGGTCAAATTTTATTAATTTCACAATGGGAGTGCAATGAAGGTTGGATAGTTTGCGATGTTTTTAAATGTGTATTTTAATAAATAAAGCCATTGCGGATGCTTGTATCTTTTAATCCGACAGTGAAATGCTCATTAGGCACAGGTTTTAGGGCGTATTATCTACAGAAATTCAAAAATTCCAGAGTCCGTTTCGAGTTACATGTGATTTTTCTGGTTTTCTTATGAATTTCAGGTGATGTGCGCTTTTCCCCAGATTTATCACCACACAACAGCAACCTGCCCGATTCGATTTCCATTTCGCCTATAAAAGGGATGAATTAATTGGTACAAATGCTCGCTCACAAACTCGAGAAATAATGCCAAGCTTCTACAAGAAAACTCCCGAATTGGAAGCTGAGGTGGATCTCGTTTACCGGACGCCTTTGCCTGCACCATATTCGGATGAAGAAATTCGGCATCTTCTGGATAAAATCACATCAAGCACACGTGTTGACCCATTGACACTTCAAGTCACAAGGAAAAGGGTGATTTTTCGAAAATCTACAGACAAGAAGCCCACTGCTACATTTAACCGAAAAAATCTAGTTAATTTTAATCAAATGTCCGAGTCAGACTGCATTATTATGGCACGTAAGCTTAAAAGAAGGAAGCAAGAACTTCTGCTTATTCGCTTTATCGAGCCTAATGGACTGGAAAGATTCCGAAACATTTTCAATTGCTATGCAACCAACCGAATGCCAAGAGAGCCTTCACTGCCACCTCAACAATCTATGCAGGAGGTCTCTGCCATTCAGTGTCAGGCGACAGGCGAGCTAGAATTGCAAACACCGATGATGAGCTCGAGTGGACCGACGACTTCGGTCTATGTGAAAAAGCAGGTTGTACCCAAGGCTATGCGCGAGACGATGCAAAACCGTTCACAGTCGGAGCCTCGTGTCACAAAAAGCCAAGGGAAGCAGGGCTTCAGCAGTCCTGAGTTATACGTTGTAAAACGCGTCAAATGCTCCAAGGACGGTGGAAGAAGGGAGGAGTATAGCAGAGTAACTATCTACGATATTACTTCAAAAGCGTCTAGTGACATTTCGGATTGCTCGTCCGTGTCTCTCACCTATTCTCCACCTCCATCTTCTGCAGCTTCGTAAGGGTTACCGTCTCGGACACGATTTTATGGGTTATCATATTCGGTTTTAGTTGTACCGGATTTTCTGTAGCGACGAGATTGAAATCTAGTTCCAATGCTTGAATAAGATGTTATATGTAACGTTAACTTATTGACTATTAACTTTCCTTTGGTTCACGTGGATAATTTGATGGCGAAAATTAGAAATATTTTGAATAGCAAAATCTGTCATATTTTCCATTTATTAAGAGTAAATATTATCATTCTTGGAACTGCAGCACAAGGATTTAAAAAAATGTAGTCATTGGCAAGAAGGATAATTATAAGTGATCAGTTAGGAAGAATAAAAGTAAAATAGTGAGAAATAACCCCTTAAAATAAACAAAATGGCGAGTAAAAATATGAATCCAAAAATAACTTGGCATTCATTCAAAAAAGTCAGAAATAAAGTCCCTTAGCTGTAACAATGATGAACCGATAAACTTTGCTGAAAGTCTGAACAGGCAGTGTTAGTGGATAAACAGGAGTAACTGCACTGTCTTTACCTTTTACATTAAGACAAGGGAACTCTTCCTACTGGTGCGAGAAAAGACCAGAAGAAAAAATTAAAGCGAGAAGATGTACTCATGGGAGAGGTTGCATTCCGAGCAATCTGTTGAAATACCTTGTTTCAAAAGTCAGATAGGGACGATGGCCATTGAAATGGTGAATGAAATACGATGATGTGACGTCGCCTCCCAAAATGCTCATTCAAAAATCCTACTATTACCTTTCTTTAATCAAAATGTGCAGAATCAACAACAAATTTTTAAACAACTTCTCACTCAAAGGTATTTTAAGGAAAAATTTTGATTGTACAGCAACGTTTAAAGTTGAAAATATCAATTGAGGTTAGCTAAAAAAAGGGGTCCTCCATTCACATGAGAATATAGGTTAGGTGACCCACGGTCGTTCGGCGACAATATCATTTTAAATTTTATTTTTCACGCTACACAATGCTATTTTTCCTAATGATTTTGAAGAAATATAACCTAAAAATGCATGTCTACCCTTATCATATCTATGCCATGGACATCACTATTAGCTGTGGTTTATTAGCCCAAGGAATAATTTTATTTTCTTACCGACAATTCTGTTTTCGAATGAGATTTATCAAGTTAAGCACTCTCTGTACTTTGATTCGTGTTAGCTACATTCACTTTGACTCACAAGTGTGGGTGGAATCACTGACTGAATTCGCACCGAATCGCCTTTTAATGGTGTGAGGGGCACTTAGATTTGAATGAATGGCTCACTATCTCGTCTTTCCGATGTTATTAATAAGCCGAATTTACCACTTATGCACGACCATGCGATACATGTATATATATGCATGTGTGGGTACACATAACATTCTGCCAAACTAAATACAGTCATTAAACAGAAAATAACTAAGAAATCTGCTAACCTTCTAAACAACCACGACATGTTTTTAAAGGGTTTAAGGCAGTCGATAAGGAAGCCACCACGTTGATTTACACCGAACTTTTATGATAGCTTACTACTTACTTAAATTTAAAAATTCAGGTATATTCTGTAAAAGTGATTCTAATGCAAAATTTGTGTGGCTCTTTGAAAATCAGTCAATGGCAGAGCATTTCAACGACAAAAGGTAATTACTTTATAGCCTAATTCAGTATTGTGCCCAATTGCCACATGTAAGTGGATCAGAATTATTGAGTCCGAGTGAATGCTTAAAGCTAATGTATGATAATAGCTTTGTCCTATGGCGAACTTGCAGGGGCCACATTTGTTTAGCGAGAATGTTTGCTACTGGAACAGGGTTTCAACACTTCATCATAACGACACTTTGAATTTGTTACATTTATGGTTCATGTCGTTTATGTGCAACGTTGTAACATTAAAAAATAGAGCCTGACTTGGAATTCTGTAAATTTTTCAAACAAACAAGTTAGCAACACAATTTATCTTTCTAAAGTCAAGGGAATGCTCTGGTTACCTTACGATCCCTTAATTTCTATGGTACATGCTACTAAGTTTTCAAGACAAATAAGTCAAACCACTCATAGTTCTTTAGTCAATTACACAATCTTTGCTGGAGCTGTTACCACAAAGGATTTATAGAATTTTGGTTAGCATTTGTGTCACTGATTCTTCTCATAGAACAGCACTATGATTCTTAGGTATTTATAAATCCTCGCTGGTGGCATAGACACAATTCCACTTACGGTTCTCATACATTTCAATCTTCAGTGGCATACAGCATAATTTTCTCAAGGGAGTTACCTCAGATGAATGCAGCACGTAGAGTGGTAGAACTCGAAGTTGGCGTAGAGGTTGCACATAAGGCATCTGTCGTATTTCTGCTACCTCAGAAATGCTAAACGAGTCGGTTCACCAAAAAATAATAAATGGCATAGGCGATTGGTTGCATGAAACACAAAGTAGGTTTTTTGCAACCTATTGAGTGTTAGCAACATCACCTATGACTTGTCTTATTGTGGAACACCTATTCCACTTAAGACATTTCTTTTCACACCTGTTAGTCCGCTTGATTTAAATTTTTGGATGACAGCATAAAAGAGTAAAAGTGTCATCGATAATTGCATCTTCTGCCGATCTGCACTTTAGATTCGAATCACTTTGCTGAAACGTGCCAGACTATTTGTACCCTCATTAGATTCCAACCGTCTAAAACAGACAAAAGGTAATTTAACTACAATGAGTTTCTGAGAACGTAATATACCTAAAAATAAGACTATCTTGAGTCATGATATCATTTTGGGCCTTATGAATTCTGTATAGTTTACATTCTTCAGGTTGTTTACATTTTGCTATTTCGAATGGTTAACTATTTGCTTCTATTCAACCCATTAGCTATGCAGTTTTTTGAAAAAGTACTTTGTGAATTACGTGTTAATAACAAATGATAGGCATTATATGAATTAAATAAGCTTATGGCGTTAAATTTAAAGATTATGTTGAGGTGGTATAGATATGCAAGCAGTAGTCAAGGGAGCTTGTGTTTCATCTGCAATCAATGAAGTTAATCAGGAGTTGCACACGCTTTTCACATGAAGGAATGAAGTACAAAATTCAAAAGAATATTCCATCTGAGTGGCACGAGCTGATTATATCGAAAATGAGACAATGTCATTCAACCAGATGCAATGAATGAACACTTTTACAGAATTGCTACTTATCTCCTAATCCTGTTGGGAGAACCAGGAACCACTAACGGAAGTAAAGATGGTAGATTTTGGTAATTTAATGAATGAATTACGCATTACGGATCAAATCACAGGTGATTGCCTTGCATTTTTATGCACTTTTATCCCATATATCAGCGGAGGTAGCTTCTGTGAAAAGATGCAAAGAAAAGGACGTTGTATATTATGGCTGTTTAAATTATCCCTTTAGAGCTCCAGGTGGAGATTTGGAATACATAAATTAAGTAAATTAATCTGTCTCCCTATTATAAGACAAAGACATTATTGAAAACCATCAAATATATTCTAAAGAGTGTTGCAATTTCCAGCGTTGGTCGAAGACGTCATTTCAGAACCGGAAAGAACCCACATCTAATGCCTTGAATGTATGCAATAAATTCACGACTTTTGTTTGAATCAAAGCGTTAAATGTTGCATGCCCATGTACATCGATCAATTTATCTCTGCATTAATTGATGGAGTTATTTTGTTATCAGCTAACTGTCAAATGACCATTTCATGTTTTAATGTAAGGCAAATTGAATATACATCTGATACCTTTCAATGGAAAGCATCAGAGAGAACTTGAGATTCGGTTACGCAGTGCGTAATTATTATACGCCTAATTTAAACAACCATTAATTACATAAAATAGACAATATTCGTACAGTTGCATGTAATGTCTTCAAATAAGTGTGCGTGATATTAAGAATAGCGGTTTTCATTCTGCATTTGTACGGTGGCTCTCAGCAGTCGATCGATGTACTGCGACTTGGGTGACATCCTCTCTCCGTAAAACACCGACTCCTTATCACGACAGATACAATCTGAATCTTCTGAATCGTCGCCATAGGAACTATCGCTTGAGCAAGTAGATCCACTAGAAGCTTGTGTGTTGTGATTTTCTTCCCCTTTGCCACTACGGTAAAAGGTTCTGTTTGGACAGTAATAGGTGTAGGTCTCCGAAACACGTTTAGATACCCGAATAAGATCAGAACTCAAATCCTTTGTATCACATACAGAGGGGGATAAAGAGGTTGCAAAGTAGGGAGCATTTGGAGGTTGGAGAAGCGATGATTTACTATAGCCAGCATTAGATGCATCGGATCTTGGGTGCGAACCCTTATTTTGTGCATTTGTAACATTGTCCTTAAGTGGAGCCATGGCTAGGGAATTGTTAGCTTGATGAACAATCTTTTCAAATCTTTTTGACATTTGAGGATCAAGCCATGCAAAGAGAGCGGTAAATGACTTGGCTTTCTTAGATTTGGGGACGTGAAGTAGGAAAGACTGAAGGTCTTCTGGTATCTGAATAATTTGTCCAATAGTGGTATATTCGACCGGTCTCATCTTTTTACCCTTCTCAGTAGGTTTGAACGTCACCTTCTCGGGGTAAATAGAAGCCATGTAGATTGGGAATCCAGATTTGGATTCCTGTACAGAATGGTAAATATTCTTAGCTTCATCCACAGTATAATTTTCCTTTTTCTTATCTTTAATCACCTTTCGAAGCTGGCATTCCGTAGTTATCAGTGGTGCTACGGAGGACACCAACTTCTCCTTTTTGGACCCATTTTCCTTTGATTTCTTCGTACCCTCTTTGTCTTGCTTAGTTTGTTTCGTCATATATGATAGCCGCCAACTGCTGCAGACAGAAATGAGGCTGTCGATGACAGTTTATTTGAAGGTAACTGCATTAACTCTAGGTCAAGGCCCAATCAGAAATAGCCTAGATTACCGTGATTGGCGCATGAACTAACCAAATGGTGATTGCAGCCTTGTAAATGCGTAAGCATGATGATAAAACGAAAAAGTGAGAATTTTGATGTTACGCACAAGAATAATGAAAGTGTACGTCATTTTTAATATTATGCGAAAGAGGAGTTATTAGAGTTAGAACAAATAAATTTCCATTTAGAGATCCTTGTAATCAAAATAATTCCATAAACTTAACCGAAGAGGCCTAGAAAAATTTGTTCTAAAAGCATGAGAAGGTAAACGCCTTAATGACATCCCAAATCCTAGTACTTTTATGGAAACCATTTTACTCCCAAAAAATACCCTTGGTTTCTTGCCACTTCCAATGCTTCAGTAAGGTTACTCCAACACATTAACAGGACTTTATCAGAATAAACAACAACAGCTTAAGGAACTCTAAAAAACAAATCATTTGTGATGGCCTTAGTCCTGTTTAACGGGATGCCTGCGCGGCTCGTACCACCAGCTGTGCTTGTTTTGGATTATTGTCACCTCAGAGAAGAGTCAAGACGCCGCACAGCCAATTAAAAAATACATCAAACCACAAAGCAACAACTTTTACAAATTTTACTCTACTGAGTCACAGGACCCACATACCATGGTATATTACGGGTATGTAGTCACATTAAAAATACTTTTTATCCCCGAATTTTCCACTCTTAATATTTATCGTCCACCACAGTAAAAGGTGTACATAAGTCTCTACAACTTTTATCGAATACCACCAAACAACGGTAAAGAGCAAGCTTAACGAGGCCAAAAGTAGTCTTTGAACAGAATTTCTGCTTTACATTAATGTTACATGAAAAAACAGTCTTTCTAGAAAACGATGAAATTAAAAAGAGGATACAAAATTTGAAGTTCCATTCCAATAAATTGCCTATACGTAAGGTGTAAAAATCGTTTAGTTCTTTCAAAAACAATCGGCAGATATAATAATATATTGTAAATGACAATGCGCACAATAAATTAGTTGTTTGTTTAACTGTCACGTGGCCTGGCATCTAGCCCATGCCAGAAACACC